CCTAGTCTCCTCATTCCCTGCGCCGCCGCGGCCGGGCCTCCTCTCGCCGCCACTGGCCTCGTTCCGCCGCTCCTGCTCGCCGCCCTGCCCTCCCATCCCCAACACCTCCCTCTTCACCTCCGGGCGGTGGTCCTGCCGCCCGGCATCAGAGGGGACCGGTTTGGAGTGTTTGTTATACCCCATCCTAGCAACGGCCGGGCCAGCCCGGCCCACACTGGCGCAGGCTGTGGAGAGCGTGGTCCTTCCCCTGGGCCTGGTGCGGTGGCCTGGCCATGCACAGCCGCCAGGCTTTCCTCTGCTGTGAAACGGGTCTGCGGCCTCGTCCGGGGTCGTCCCCTGCCTGCTGGCTGGGTGATGGCAGATTGGAGAGCAGACCCCTGCCCAGCAGGGTTAGGTGTTCCCAGGAGGTGGGGCTCTGTTGGCCTTGGGGTCTCTGGGCTGTGAGTGCTGCAGGACACCTCTGCTCCCCTCTGGAGGCTGGGGACAGCATAAGGGCCGGGCCTATGGTGAGGGTTCCAGCTTGGATGGACCTCCTTCTGGTGTGGGTTTTCCTACATCTTTCCACCTTTTTGTCCCAGCTACACTGTGCCAGGTATGTAGGGCACCTGTATACTCAGTCACGTGGTATCACAGGTAGGCGGAGCCTGGTGTTGGTCTGCCCTCTGCCCACTGCAGGGGAACTGAGACCTGGGTGGAGAGCTCTCAGCTGAGGCCTGAGCATGGACGTTACAGGACAGGACCTGCCCCCAAGGGCAGAGTGAGGTCACCCCGTGTGTAGGACCCTGTGTGACTGTCTCCAGCTCAGCGATGCCCCTCCCATCCAGCTTTGCCCTGGACCTAGAGTCCTTCCCGACCCTCTGACCCACATATCCAAGTCCAGGCTATCACATGCCGTGCCCCTACCCTCCCTCTTGTTCTGCCCACCTGGCCTTGGCCACTCTTACCTCTGTCCTGGGTCATTGCCCTCACTTCTTACCTGCCCATTCCAGCTGTCCTCTGTGCTATGAATGGGACCCTGCTGCAGAGACCCAGGAGCCCCAGGCCATCTCATGGGCTTGGGACCTGTGTGCCAGCATAGTCCCTGTCCAAACCTCATGCTCAGGCTAGCATCTTCCTGGTTTCAGAACAAGCCCTGGACTCTCCCTTAGCACCGGGTCTCACAGTGGCTCCAAAGGCCTCTTTTTTGCTACAGGGCACTCAAGGGCATGTGAGACTGGGTCCCACTGCTGTGCCTGCACTGCTGTCTGGTTCCTGTAGCTGGAGTGCCGCCCCTGAGACCTACCTCTCTCGAGCTCGCCACCACACTCCTCAGCCCCTCCCAGCACAACCCGCCTGGCTCATGGACTGAGGAATCCCTCTGGTGCAGGGCCTCAGTGTCCTAGTCACAGCCACCTCAGCTCAGGCTATGCCAGCACATAGTGTGCAGGATGTATGTTACAGTGTATGTCTGCCTGTGCAAGTGCCCTGGGTGTGCAAGCTGCCTGTGTCTGCACACAGCTGCATAGAGGGCTTCCAGCTGCCAGGGCCTGGTCTCAGGGTGACTTTGGTCCTGGCTGCCACTTAGGCCCATAGTGGCCCTCTTGCTGCCATGGTGCTCCCTGCCTATCCTACCACACTAGCCCACCAGACCTCTTTGCCAATGCTCCGCTTTTGGGCACTGCATGGGCTGCCTGATATCTGAACTGCTGATGTCTCACACATGGTCACCAATGGATGTCCAGCCTCCTCCGAGTGATGGGCACAGTGATGTCTCAGAGCCTTCTCTCCACCTATGTCCCTGCAGCCCTTCACCCCAGCACCCTTGTCTTGGTTCAGTCCAAGTGTCCTGCTGGGGAAGTGGGCCTTCTGAGTCAGAGTTTGTGTCCTGGGGACCCGATGGGCCATGCTGTAGCTGCTCCTGGTGGGCCACATGGACACATGGGTCTGGACACAGGCAGCATTGCCAGTGTCCCATGCAACTTGACCCTGGCACCTAAAGAGAGAAGGGACGAAGTGTAGTGGGGCCTAGAAGACAAGAATGGGGTGGGGAGGCCACAGGGGGCATGATGGGACAGGCAGGCCATGCCCAGGCCTGGCACTGGGACCTGGGCTATGCTTAGGGAAGGGCAGGCAGCCTGGGGTACAGACACAGGTACCCTGTAGCCCTGAGCACCCTAGAGCCAGCATTTCCAGAAAGGCCTGGCTGAGCCTCAGAGGGCAGCCCTCAGCTGGGCCTTGAGTGGTCTGTGTGTGATCCAGCTTGGGGAGCCCCACTCCTCTGATAATCACCTCTTCCAGGGCCAGACGGGTCTCACCAGCACCAAGATGAGTGTCACCTCCTGGTTCCTAGTGAGTAGCAGTGGCACCCGCCATCGGCTCCCGCGTGAGCTCATCTTCGTGGGGCGCGATGAGTGTGAGCTTATGCTGCAGGTGAGCAACTACTGGAGCTGGGAGAAAGGTTGGGGCCCCTAACTGCTGCAGGACCCCAGGCCCAGGCAGCTCCACCCAGGCCCTGGGCCCATGGGTGGGCTCCAGGGTCCCTGTGCCATGTGTACAGGTGTGTCTGTGCTCAGGGCAGGCTGTGGGCTCAGACCTTGGCTCCCCTGTGCAGCCCCAGCTGTCCCTGCAGACCCCAGGGTATAGCAGTTCCCTGGAGGCAGCTTTGCCCAGGCTGGGGTGGGTGCTGCCACAGTACACTTATAGGGCAGCAAGTCCTAGCCCACCTCTGCCCAGGGCACCTCTGTTGTATTGATATTCTGACTGCCTCTTTATGGTCCTAGTGTTTGTGGCCCCTTAAAATCATGTAAGTAGTTGAATTTAATCCCCAGGGGGCAGTGTGAAAGGTGACGCCTTTGCTGGCCATTAGGGGATGAGGGTCCTCATGAATGGAATCTGTGCCCTGGGAACAAGGATTGAGGCAGCTTGTCTGTCCCTTCCATGGTCCCTTCCGCTGCTAAAGGCTCCATCTGAAAACAGAGACAGTCTCTGCCTTGGGCACCTTGGTGTCGCCTTCCAGCCTGGCACTGTGATCTACATTTTCCATTGCTTGCACATCCCCTAATCAAAGGGATTTTGTCATAGCAGTTGATGGACAAAGCCCCCACGTCCTGGCTTCTCCCCAAAAGTCCTGCAGTGTGCAGGGATCCAAATCCAGCTGCTCTGCCCATTGCTGGGGGGCTCAGACTCTCAGGTTCCTTTGACTCAGAGATCCTGGGGAGCACAGAGACAAGTCAGTGGCCTATGTGAGAGTCACAGATGTGCTCTGTGAAGGGCTCCAAAAGCCTTGTGGTTCCCACAGCTGCCTTGCCCCCATAGTGTAAGGATGGCATAGACGATGTGCCAGAGCTGGCAAGGCATGCATGGCCATGCTTATTTAGGGATTCTGAGTGTTGATTTCCTGTGATTTTTAGAGGACATAGGTGGTCTCATGATGATTTGTAATTATTTAAAAACAAAGATGGTAAGCACAGGCTGCAACCCCAGCCTTGTAGAGGGGCTGTGGCCAGGCCTGCCAGGTTGTTCCCAGGGCATGGCATGACATACATGGTTTTGATGATGGCCATGCTGTACTCCTAGGATGACCAGGAAGGCCTCTTGGAGGAGGTAGCACTTTGGGGTCTGTCTTAGTTACTTTTCTTGTTGCTGAGACAAATACCTTACACCCACAAGTTAAAGGAGGAAAAGTTTATTTAGCTCACAATTTATAGAGGTTTCATTTGATAGTTGGCTGGCTTTAAGACAGGGCAGCATGGAAGAGGTGTCACAGAGGAGAAACAGTCCATAGCAGGTCAGGCAGGAGAGAGCGAGCAGCAAAGCAGCAACAAGCTGGCCTTCTTTTGTCCCTTTATATTCTACCCAGGCAACAAGTTTATTGATTGGTGCCACCCACACCAAGGGTGGGGCTCCTATTATCCACACTCTTGATTCCAGTATCACACCCTTAATCCATATTCATATACCCTAATCCAGCCACCTCGAAAACTCCCCACGTTTGGCCACATGAGGCTCTGAGGGGACATCTAGATACAAACAATAACAGGCCTTGGTGAGGAGCTGAGGTAAGCCTGAGGTGCTGGAGCTCCTCCCGTCCTGCATCCAGCTCTGTGCCTTGCTGCTTGCTGCTTTGCCTAGACATGAGGGAGAGGTCATCTGGGGATCCCAGTGCCACATGGGTCTGTAGCTTGATCCTAGTGTCTAGACTGGTTGGTTGTACAGCCCCCAGCAGGTTAGGAGCAGTGGCAGCTTCTAGGTCTCTGAGCCAGGAAGCTCCTGCCCTAGGTGCCCCTGTGCTGCTCCCAGGTGGTGGCGTGGCTGTGTAAAAGTTTTCTCCATCTTACACAGAGAAAATGAGACTGGGGAGCCCATGCATGGACAGAACACAGGAAGGCTATACTCATTCCCCCAGCACCCTGTCATCAGTCTACCCCCACCCTATGACCTCTCAGCCTGCTTCCCTATCTCCACTGTAGGCCACCTCTGCAGGGAAGTCCTCGCTGCCACTCCACACCCAGCCCCAGGTTCCTGCCCCTGGCCCTCCTCACCCCATCCTGGCTGGCTCTAGGCCTCCCAGGTACCCTCCCTTTGTGCCACCCTCTGAGCCCTCAGGACCTTTGCATGTGTTGCCCCCCCTCTTCCCATAGCCTCTTCCTGGGACCTCCACTCCAGGTTCCTCCAGCCTCTTGGCTTCTGTTCAGTAGGCAGATGAGATACACATTGTCCTGTGCCCATCCTGTCCCCAGCTTTGACCTTGGCTGCACAGCTGTCCCAAGCTTCTCAAAGGCAGCTGAGGCTCAGGATCACCCTGTCCCCTCCAGTGGTGTCCCTGCCCTGGCTTCACCCACCACACCATCCTGCCCCTCACCCCATACCTTGGCTTCTTGAGTACTGCTTCCCACCCCCAGCTCACAGAAGGCAGCCCCATCCTGTCCCTGTCCTCACCTCAGCTATCTTGGTCTCCATCTGCCTGTCCATCCTGGTTGCTCTCTCTCCCCACTACATCCCCAGCTGTTCTCTCTGCCCACATATCAGCACCTGGCCCACCTCAGCCTCCTCTGGGAGGTTGTCATCCGCATCTGTCCCCTCATCCCGAACCAGCTCTATACAACACATATTCCTGTGGTCTCCAACCCCTGCCCTCTCCTTCTGCCTACCTCCTCATCTGCATGGGGAAAAATGCAAAGAAGGCAGCATTGTGAGGGCTGGGGTTCAGGGCCACCAAACAGAGCTGTGGGAGGGGAGCAGGGCTAGCAGAAAAGGGCAGCTGTGGGAGGGCAGAGCCCTGGGGCAGGAAGGAGGCAGAGCAGCCTGAGGCCAGGCCTTGGGCCCTTAGGGCAGAGCTGTGGGGGCTTCCTTACTCACCTCACACAGCAGGCTTCCAGTTTGCTTGTGGTAATGTCCAATCCCAGGGCAGGCGTGACCCAAGCTCATGCCGGTGAGGACATGCTGTGTGATGTGGGCATGTGCATACAAGTGTGTGTGTGTGTCTGTGCACATGTGTGTGTGTCTGCACAGGCCTGTATGTGTGTACACATGAGCGTGCTGCCTCAGCCATACTTCCACTGTGGCCTGGGCCTTGTCCCCAGACACTCTTGCCGGGTTCCTGCTGGATCATCAGAGTGCTGGGAACTTTTCTGCTCCAGAAGCCTGCCTCACCCACTCTGTCCTGTGGCACATGTGACAGCTGGGATCCTGATCAGGAGTGGCTTCAGGGCCGTGCACACACAGCAGTCTGGCGGCCTGCTCCAGTGCCTGTGGCCTCCCTCATGGCAACACTGGGGATGAGCTGGCAGGAGGGAGTGCCAGGAGCCCTGGCATAGGGCCCTTTGAGGCTCATCACAGCAGGACAGGGCTCTCCCCCACAGAGGGCGTCAGACTTGAACATGGAAACACATTTTATTTTGTTTTGAAGGGGGTCCAAGTCTGCCTCCTCCCATCCCTGTGTTTGGAGCATCTGCCATTTTGGATCATCTGTGCCAGGGAGCTCCTTTCCATAGCCCCTCATGAGCCCTGGGTTAGGGACCTCCTTTTGGGTGGGCTGGCATTCAGCCATAAGCATGTGGGCTTGGCCAGGTAGGGCTCTGCTTCTGACCTGAGCTGTCTGGGCTGGGAGGGAGGTTGCTGGAAGGGGGCCCTGAGACCCCAGCACTCCTTTAATCCAGCAGGAACCTAGCAGGACTGTCTGGGGCAAAATCCTGATTGTCATGGATGGTTGGCCTCCGGGTGGACATGCGTTATAGCCAAGGTGTGTGTGGGCGAGCAGGGACTATTTGGTCAGGGCCTCAGAATCTAAGGCAGTGTGGAACATCTGCTAGAAGAGAAAGTAGGCACAAGAAGGGTGGTAGTCCTGGCAAAGGATGTTGTGTGGGCTGAGACTTAGGCCATTGAGAATGTGTTGCTTCCGGAGCCCCAGTGTGGTGTGGACAGAGTCTAATTGTGGCCTAGGAGGCGGAGGGAGGTCTGGAGAGGGCCTTGGCACTTTTGGGCAGTTCCTTCCCGGTCAGGGAGAACCCAGGAAGTATGAGCAGGAGTCTGATGACATCGCAATGATAGGGAGGCATGTCCAGGCTGGAAAGGTCACTTGGAAGACCCATCCATGTCTTAGTTACTTTTCTCTCCTTGCTGTGATAAAATACCCAACACCCAAAATTAAAGGGGAAAGGTTTGGTTAGCTTTTAGTCAAAAGAGGTTTCAGCCCATAATAGCCAGGCTCCGCGGCAGGGTGGCATCACAGAGAAGAAACAGCTCATGAAGGCAGAAGGTAGCAAAACAAGCAAGGGATGACCACAGCGCTTTCTATTCCTTACATCTTATCCAGACTACTTAGCGAAGGCAGGCAGCACTCACATCCTTCATCCTAGTGCTGTTGAGCCTTGCACTGCACCATGCATCAATCCCAGCCTCACACACTCTAGATCCAGCCACCTCTGATTGCTTCTTGGCCCTTTGGCTAATATCAAGTATAGATCCAACCACCTCTGGAAGAGTCCCACCTGTCACTGCATGAGGCTTTGGGGGGACATCTAGACACAGCCACAGCATCCTTTCAGGGTCATTCCTCAGCAGAGATGATGGACAAGCCACCCATCTCTGTCTGTCCACCTTCAGCCAGCAGCTGCTGGGACCTCCCGGACAACTTTAGTGACCCCTTTGCACACCCCTTAGGCCTTCACTGCTCCAGAAGGTCTGAGGCCTGAGTCCAGCCCTCAGCCCTCCAGGCTGGCTTTCTGGAGCAGATCCCTGGTGCCCCACAAAGCCTGTGTGCAGGGCGAGGTGGGACACTGCCTGTGTGCAGTCCCCAGCCCCATCCAGCACCCCTGGTCCTCTCAGCTTCCAGGCTGAACTCTGAGTCAGGTCTGCCCAGAGGGGCACTTGAGTGACCTGGAATGGGGGCCAGGCCCAAGCCCCCAGACTCCCCTGGGGGAAGCTCTGGCCACTGCAGAGCTGCCCAGCTTTGGCTCTGGCTATGCCTGTGGCTCTCAGGTGGAGGGGTTAGTGGCAGGTGCCAGGTGATAGGTGGCATGGGGTAGAGGCAGGCAGTGGAGATCTGTGCCGAGACCACGGCCTTGAGGACTGGGTGACATGAGCCAGGAGAATGTGACCCTGTTCCTGCCTCCATCTGGGTGGGAAGTGGGGTACTGAAGCTGGACAGCTGGGGTGAACATGTAAGGGAGCTGGAGTGACTGTCCTGGGGGGTCTTGAGTAGGCTGGTGGCCAGGGAAGGTGAGTCCCAGAGTGGAGGACCTGTGTGCATGCTGAGGTGTGTGTGTGTGTGCGCGTGTGTACGTGTGCGTGCGCGCATGCATACGCACTTGTACAGGCACAGGCAAATGAGGGCGTAGGACCATGGGAGCCAGGTGGCAGGAGCTCAGGAAGTCTGAGCATGCACACTTGCCCTTGACCCTGAGGCTGTGCACCCTGCCTGCTAGTCTCTGGGCCTGTGGGGAGCCAGAGCTCGCCACCCCCACCTGCCCTTGGGAAGGCACGGGCTGTATGGATGAACAGCGGGTTCCTGACCTCCCACGGCCCACCAGAGAGGACGCTGGAACACAGGAGGGAGGTCATGTAGGAGGTGCCAGGGTAGCCACGGAGGCAGAGGAAGTGGCCCTGGTGTCTTGCCAAGTCCCTGTGGCCTGCGCCGTGGCTGGGTGGCTTTAATGAACACATACTCTGTGTAGGTGGGGTAGGGTCAGTGGCCCAGGGGCTGGAGTTGGATGGCATGATGGCCTGTGGGGAGCATGGGTGCCTCTGTCTCCTGGACTTGCCTCCCCAGGATGGAGCGCCTGAGTGCCCTGTGTGTCTCTATAGTCCCGCAGCGTGGACAAACAGCATGCCGTCATCAACTACGACCAGGACCACGATGAGCACTGGGTGAAGGATTTGGGCAGTCTCAATGGAGTGAGTGTTGCAGTTCTGCCTGGCTTCCCCTCTAGCTATGGCTCTGCCCCTCAGCTCCTGTCCTGGCCCCGGCCCTGGGCCCCTGACCCACCAGAAACTGCTCTACAGGGAGGGGTGGGGGTTGAGGTGGCCCCCTGGAAAGGGCCCCCCTGGCCAGACTTGGCCTTTGAAGGTAGTCCTGGCCCCGTGGGAGTGTGGACTGCTCAGGCTTGGGAAATGGCCTTCCTGAGGTGGAAGGAACTGTGCAGGGTACCCTGACTGGGTATGAGGAGCTGCGTGGAAGAAGCTGTCTGTGCATCTCCCTGTATGTTGTACAGGTGTGCTGGGATGCTGTTTCAGTGAGAAGGCAAACCATCTGGTTCTGTTGGTTCATTGCCCTCACATTTCTGAGCTGGGGGTCCTCCAAAGTCTTGAGGACCCTGCCTTTGCTGTGTGAGCTTGCAGCAAGCCCAAGGCACTGCTCTCAAGGCCCCTCAGGGCACTCCCATCCAGGTTGACTCAGGCCCCTCCTCCCTCACCTGCCCATCAGCTGCAGCAGCCCTACTTGCCTGGGCTGCATGGCAGCCAGGCTCTCCTCTGCTGCCCACACTGCCTTCAGCAGGTCCCTGAGCTGCTCACTGGCCTTGAGTACAGGGCCAGCACTCAAGAAGTCTGTAGTGGCCACATAGAGCCAGGGCCCGCTTGTGGGACCCTGAGCTTGACTGGGTTGCAGAGAGGGTCTGCAGAGTTTGGGTGCTGTCCCGGACTGTCCCACCACTCAGCTGCATGGCCGCCTGTTCCTCTACAGACTTTTGTGAATGACCTGCGAATCCCAGACCAGAAATACATCACGCTGAAGCTCAACGATGTCATCCGCTTTGGCTACGATATCCTTTCCCATGGTGCTCAGGGCCAGTAGGCCTGGAACCCTGGAAGAGGTTGGGGATCTCAGGGTCACAGCTGGGGGGCCCTCAGGTTCAGGGGAGCCCACAGCTGGCCTCCACTTGGGGTTAGGGCACACCCTCTGCTATCCATCCACTGAGCAGATGGTTCACAGGGGGCTGGGGAAACTTGGGACCCCCTCACAGCTTGACCTTAAAGATACCAGATGCAACACCAGTCTGACAATGGGGGCATTGCTGACCCCCAAGGGCAGGAACCCCACCACCTGCATAGGACCTGAGCGGCTACCTGGGGGCACTGGGTACAGGTCTTCTGCTTTCCCTGTTCTGTGTTCTTAACAGTGCCACATTCCAACATGTATGTACTGGAGCGGGTGCAGCACCGTGTGCCTGAGGAGGCACTCAAGGTGGGTGCTGGGGGAGAAAGCGGCAGGCCCAAAAGAAGTACGTGTCCCTCCCTCAGGGCCTACCTGCTCCAGGCCCCACCCCGGGTCTCTACCTGCACCTGGAGGCTCTGCTCCCTTAGCAGCTACCCCTGGTCCCTGGAGCACCTTGCTCTGACTGCCAGTGCAGGAGTCAGGCAGCCTGTCCTGCCCTGCCAGTTGGCCCAGTCTGGTGGGTAGGGAGGTAGCCATTGCCCTCTAGGCTTGTGATGGGCAGATGGTGGGGCAGCAGAAGTGGGCCAACCATCCAGCATGCTGAGGGTGAAGGGCTTTCCCAGCTGCTACTAGGACTTGGCCCTGTGCCCAGGATGTAAGGTGTGGTTCATTGGGCTGAGGTGGGATCAGGAGGCCCCATGGGAGACAGAAGCCCCACTGAGGACAGAGTTACCACTGGGGCAAAGAGGGTGAGGAGCTAGGCCCCAGGACCTCTGGGTGTGCCCAGCCTCTTGGGGATGGGCGGCACCCTGAGGTGCAAAAGTGCCTTCCAGCAACATGCCCTTCAGTGTAGCCAGGGCCCCGGCCAGGCTGAGAGGTCCTGGGGGAGCCATGGTGGGTTCCTTGTGTGTGTGGGGTGTGGGCATAGGTGCATGGGACCCTGCTGAGACCTAGGAGTGTGTCTGGTGGGTGTTCTCGGTCCGTGTTCTAGTGAACGTGGGCAGCACAAGGTCACACGGCCAGGAAAACAGGACTGGTGTGAACATACTTTGTATACATGCACTCCGCACACGTGTACACGCAGACACACATCTATACATGCGCATGTGTAGGGATGGCATGCTCCCCCTCCCTAGCCCCTGGGGCCTGTTTCAGGTGGAGCCTGGTACTGGCAGTCACCCCCAACCACTTGTTCCATCTGCGCTCTCGCACACACACAGCAAGCCCCAGTACCATCCTGGGAGCCCTGGGGCCCAAGGACCCATGCTTGGATGTGGACCCAAGTGGCTGCTGGTGCAGGGCTCAGACTGCATAAGGCTCTATGTGTTTTCTGGTGCATGGAGAGACCTCCTGGCAGGTGAGAGGAGAGGCAAGTTCTGCCCTGGGCAGTGTCCCTGAGCTGTGCCTGTCCCTTCCTTGCTACAGCATGAGAAGTACACCAGCCAGCTGCAGGTGGGTGTCAAGAACCTGGCGCCTAGGAAGAGTGAGGCACCACCCGAACTCACAGCCTACTGTGAAACCTCACACCCCCGTCTGGAGAAGGGGGACCGGAGACCTGGAACAGGTAGGCTAGGCTGGGAAATGGATAGACATGCAAGGGAGGATGAGTCTCCTGCTGGCCCACATGTCCCCTCCACTATTATGCCCCTCCCTGTAGCTCACCCTACCCCTGTAACTCCATGCCCCCCAAATGTATCCCTCACCTCCTCACCCCAGCTTGCATTTTCCTGGGTCTGTGACACTCATGTGTGGACCCACACATACTTCCCAGCCTGTGTGCTCTCTCCTTGGCAGCCGCCTGCTGACCAGAGGCAGGTGGAGCAGGGGTGCTGAGCTGCCACAGTCAGGTGTCTGGCCTGCTCTAAAGGCACAGAGCTGGCTGGGTCGGGGGCTGGTGCAGTGAAACCTGGTTGATGCTAGGGTACAGTGGAGGATGTGATGAGGGGTAAGGGGCTGCCACCTCGGTCCAGGTGAGCCGGGGGGTTGGGGCTGGATAGGTGGGTCCAGGCTCCCCACTCCACCCTCACCAGGGAAGGCCAGCCCTTGGGCTGCTGGACCCTGGTTCCCAGAGTGGCAGAGCCTCCACCTTCTGGAACCTGACCTGGCCAGGAACTGGGAAGATTTCCAGGAAGTCACGTGAGCTGCCCAGAGCACTGTGTGGTGTCCGGGTCTTGAGCACACACAGCTGCTGGTGGTGACTTGGAGTGCCCTGCGGTTACAGCAGATGTACCAGCAGGGCACCAGTTCCTTGGCCCAGCAGCCGATGCAACGGGCAGGAGAGGGGGTACTGCGCACGCTGTGCTGCCCTGCCTTGGCAGCTGAGTGCAGCCCTGGATCAGGAAAAGTCCCCCTCACCACCCACAACATTCAGGAAAGTTGTCCACCTGGGAGCATGTGGTGCCCAGCCAGTGACCAGGCTCAGGACCTCTTGCTGCCTGCATGTGGGCACTTAGGAGCTGCAGGTCCTATGACTCAGGTAGCCACATGACTCTGGCAGGGATGTAAGAGCTGGGGGATCTCGGAGGGCTGATGTGGGCCATTGGACACTGCTCCTACCTAAAGCAGAGCTGGAAAACCTGGTCTCTCAGGTTTTCACTTCTGACCAGTATTCAAATACTAAAACAAATATACAAAAATGTCACATGGGCCACTCTGACCAAAGTGGCCCACAGCCCCCAGAACCACCCACCTGTGGCTTGGACCATTTCGAGAGCCCTGGAGGGAGGCTGGGTGGGCAGTGGGCTCCACCACTGTGTACCCCATTGGACCGCCACTGGGCTCCAGCACAGGGCCCATGGGCTTGCTGCCTGCCAGGGCTGTGTCCCCCAGGAACAAGCCTCCCTTCTGTGGGTACTGTAGAGGCCCAGGTGGGAGCAGGCAGGTGAGAGGTGGAAACAGGCTCAGCGCGGTTGGCAAGTGGCCAGCATCCATGGCAGCTGTGGGTCTGGGCTGGGAAGGGACTCCCGCCTGAGTTCTGCCTCCCCACAGAGTCTGTAGTGTACCGCACACCTTTGTACGGGCAGCCGTCCTGGTGGGGAGAGGACGACAGTGGCGCACCACCTGAGGACCGGCGCCAGGAGGACCCCTACCCAGGTGGGTCTTGGCACCCAGCCATGCAGCCCCTGAGCCCAGAGGTGCAAGTGAGGGGGATGGCTTAGGCCTGGAGGTACCTATACCAGGGGGGACCAAGAGGGAGGTGGGGTGGCCACCCTGAGGCTTGGTCTGGAACCCCCCAGAGCGTGCCAAGGAGTCAGCGCAGCGAGACAGCGAGCTGGACGGCCCACCAGCTGGCTGTCGTAGCCTTGTTGAGCCTCAGGGCTACTCCTTCCGCCGGGAGCCCAGCTACTTTGAGATCCCCACGAAAGAAGCCCCGCCACCACCATCACGGCCCCCAGAGGTGCCGGAGCATGAGGCGCCCACCAAGGATGAGGCGGCAGGTGGTGGGGCAGGGCCCGTGGTGCAGAGCCATGCCTCCTTCACCATCGAGTTTGATGACTGCAGCCCTGGCAAGGTGAAGATCAAGGACCACATCACCAAATTTGCCCTGCGCCAGCGGCGGCACCCTGGCAAGGAGGCCACGCCTGTGGAGATGGTCTCCGCGGAGACCAAGGTGGCCGACTGGCTAGTGCAGAATGATCCGAGCTTGCTGCGCCGGGCTGGCCCGGGCGATGACCACCACAGTGCCAAGAGTGACCTGCCTGTCTACACCCGTACCCTGAGAGGTCAGTACTTCCTGGCTCAGGGCCATCTGGGGTGGGCAGGTGGCTGCTAGTTGGGCCCCAGGCATCTGGTAAACTCTGCTTTCCAATTCATTGCCTAAGCTGCCTGTCCACAGGTCAGCGTGCAGCATCTGTCATGAGTTTTAGCTGCAGGTGCCATGTCCCCTTACCCACGTGAGGCCCCAGACCAATCGCAGTTTCCTGACAAATGAGGTCCCCCCAGGTCACAAGCATGAAGATGGCACACAGAGCGATTCAGAGGACCCCCTGGCCAAGGTGGCCTCAGTGGCCGGGGCCCCCATGGAGGCCAGCGGGGAGCAGGTGCGGCTGCAGAGGCAGATCAAGCGGGACCCCCAGGAGCTGCTGCACAACCAGCAGGCCTTTGTCATCCAGTTCTTTGATGAGGACACGCCCCGCAAGAAGCGCTCACAATCCTTCACGCACACCCCACCTGGTGACCCCAAAGCTGATAAGCGCCGGGTCCCGGGGCCCACTGATCGGGAGCGCCCAGGTGCCCCTGCACGGGGAGCAGCAGGCAGCAGCTCGGGGTCACAGAGGGCCAGCTCACTGAAGAGAGAGAAGACAGAGGAGCGGTTGAGTAGCACCTCGCCAGCCCCTCGGGCCCTCGCCCGACCCTTTGGCAGTGTGGGGCGCCGCTCCCGCCTGGCCCAGGACTTCATGGCCCAGTGCATGCGGGAGAGCTCCCCAGCCACCAGGCCCAGCCCTGAGAAGGTGCCCCTGGTGCCACCCACACCCCCGACATCCTGTGGGGCCAGCCCATCCCTACCACCACCTCTTTCCGAGCCCCAGCTGACCAAGGCGCGCAGACAGGATGAGGATGACAGCCTCAGTGATGCAGGCACCTATACCATCGAGACAGAGGCACAGGACAGGGAGGTGGAAGAGGCCCGCAAGATGATCGACCAGGTGCAGCTGGGGTCATGGGGTGGGAAGGAACTCAGCTGGTGGGCATGTTGGGGCCTAGGCCCTGGCATTCTGCACCCAGCTGGCTCCTGAGTCTAGTCCAGCTGGGAAGGTGGGTGCTGCTGACTCCACCATGCAGACCGGTGCTGCCCACTGGCCTTGCCTCTCACCTTGCTGGGGTGGCCTGTCCCCCCACCAGCTGGACAGCCAGGTTGTATGCCCACCATGTCAGAGTGGGCTGGCAGCCAGGCACCTCTGACCCTTGGTGCTGTCTCCTCCTGGTAGGTTTTTGGGGTACTTGAGTCCCCTGAACTCTCCAGAGTGTCCTCGGCTACCTTCCGCCCTGTGATTAGAGGGGAAAGGGATGAGTCCAGTGATGGAGGCGTGGCCCAGAGAATGGCCTTGCTGCAGGAGTTTGCCTCCCGGCCACTGGGTGTGGATCCCTCTGTGGAGCACCAGGTATGAGCCCATGTGGCCACTCCAAGAGGGGCAGTAGGAACAGAGCAGTGTCTAGCTGGGACTCCATGCTGGTGGCTCTAATGCGGACGGGCCAGATCTTTCCCTAAGGGTTACCTTACCTGACAAGCAAGCTGTGCAAGGTGTGAGTGACTGCCCAACCATCCCTGGCCTCCCTGCTGTCTTGTGCCACCCCTGCTATGGACACTGTGGTCTTCTGCAGGGTCTCATGGTTCCGGGCTGCCCTGGAGGTCAGAAGTGGGTGTCCCGCTGGGCCAGCCTTGCCGACAGCTATTCAGATCCCGGCTTGTCAGGTATATGACCAGGATTGCTGGAAGGGTTGGAGACAGGCCAGGCAGCCTCGGGCCACTGACCAGAGACATAGCTTGTACATTGCTATGCCTGGTGGAGGGGTGGGGCTGCATGCACGGATAGACCGTGGCCACTCTGACTGGCCACCCTTGTACTTTGCAGAAGATGGCCCAAGACACAGAGCCAGGGAGCCTGAGGGGCCCCTGCCTGTGCGCACCAGACGACTGCTTCCCCAGCTGCCCAGCGACAGGGCTGACAGCCCTTCAGGCCTAGAGGTCACCAGGAGGAGTGGGCCTGGGCCACCAGAGACAGGCATTGAGCAGGCCAGCCGCCTGGTTGGCCAGGAGGACCTGGACCCCGACAGCCTCAGTGATGCCAGTGGGTCAGATGGGGGCCGGGGCCCTGAGCTGGGCACAGAGCAGCAGGAAGTTAGGCACAGGAGCCCCCAGGAGGGACCAGCCTGGCCCAAGGGGCGGTGCTCACCAAGGGGCCCCAGGGAGCCTGCCCCTGTCTCTTTCTTCATTGGCAACGAGAAAGAGGGTGCTGCGAACGAGGGTGCTGGTCTCCGGAAACCCATGGCAGCTCCTGGGGAGGCAGAGGGCCCAGGACGAGTGGCCCAGACCAGCCCCCCAGCACGGGATGACCTCTGCATGAGTAGCAGTGAGCGAATGGTCATCCAGATACACCCGGGGCCCAACAGCTCCAGCCTTGTCCCACCCCGGGAGGCCCTGGGCTTTGTGCGGCAGGAGAGCTTCACCAAGGAGCCAGCGAGCAGCTCTTCGGCTCCCAACAAGCTTCCACACATCTCCAGCCATCCGCTCCTGCAGGACCTGACCACGGCCCAGGCTGCTCGCATGGATCTCCACGTGCAGGATACACACCTGATCCTGAAAGAGACTGAGACGGCCCTGGCAGCCCTGGAAGCCCGGCTGCTCTCCAAGACCACAGACAAAGAGGGTGAGGGGGGCAGTACCCCCAGGCCACCAGACGACTCCCTCTCTGGGGACTCAGATGTGGACACAGGCAGCACCGTCAGCCTGCTCAGTGGCAAGAATGGGCCCAGCCCGACGATCCCTCACCCTCCAGGGCCACAGAAGGAGAGGCTGCCATCTCCATCAGTGGCCCAGGACCTGGGGGGTGCCACCCTGGGCAGTGTGCGTGAGCGGCTCTCAGAGAAGCAGCATCGCCTGACCAGCCCCACTGACCAAGGCCGCGGAGAGCCAGTGCGGCACCTGGCTGCCCGGCGTGGCCGTGGGCCCCGAGGGTCCCTGGACTGGACTGAGGAACGAGGCTCCAACCTCACCCACCTACCCACAGACACAGTCACCCCCAACCATGAGACCCCAGAGGCCACTGGGGCAGGTCGACCAGGGGCTCGCCGGAAACCAGCGGCCCCCTCACCTTCCCTGGCTGCCCGAGAGGAGCAGAGCCGTGGTTCCACCAGTGTCCAGAAAGTACAGCAGGCGCTGACCCGCTCCAACAGCCTGTCTACCCCGAGACCTACACGGGCCTCCCGACTCAGGCGGGCCCGGCTTGGGGAAACCTCCGACACCGAGGTCACAGACAGTGACCGGGGAGCCCCAGCCAACCCTGAGCCAGTGGGCCGGCCAGCTGCTGAGCAGGCCAAGAAGCTGTCCCGCTTGGACATCCTGGCCATGCCCCGGAAGCGGGCTGGCTCCTTCACGGGGCCCAGCGACTCCGAGGCAGCCCCTGCCCGCACAGGCTTCTCGGGCCGCAGCGTCGAGCTGTACTGTGCCAACCGTAAGCCCACCATGGCCGATGCCCGCACTGCTGCCAGGAAGGCTGCCGCCACTGCTACTACCACAGGCTCTCGCCAGCCCTTCAGCCGGGCACGCCCGGGCAGTGCCAGATATTCCTCCAGTGAGTGTGGGACAGGTGGGAGGGCTGGCAGGTGGGTGGGCGGCCTGGGGCCAGGGCGGCCCCACGGGTCCAAGTGGCTTTCTGTAGGGTGGACACATTGCAGACTTGCACACGCATGTGTGGGGGCCAGATATGTCTGCAATACCATGTGGGCAGAAGACACTGAGCCTCCCAGGAGGCCAGGACTCCTACAACTTCCCCATGGGCTAAGGAGCCTGGACCTTGGGGCTGGCCCTGCCCCTCTGTACTTCAAGGTGGGTCCCCTGATCACCCCCGGGCCACCTGCCCTGGGGTCTGGAACTGCTCTCCCTGTCTCTGCCTTATGGAAGGCACAGGAATGCCTGTGCCCATCTGGTGGGGGCCTCTGACAGCCCCTGAGCCCACAGAGCCCCGCCCTGTTCCCCAAGGTTTGTGTGCACAGCACAGAGGGAGGGGCTAGTAGTCCTACAGCCTGCCCCATGTGCTACCAAGGGGGCCACGCGTGCCCTGCCTGAGTGGATTGGTTGAGGCCCAGGTGCTGTAGCTCTGCCCATGCCACCCGGCCTGCCTACCTCCAGCACCATCCACAGCCCTCCTTGCCTGCTGGGTCCCCTGGGCAGCTGGGGATTGAGTAGGGAGCCTTATGGCTGCGGGCTGAGGACCTCTGGCAGAATCCTCTGTCCCTTCCCCACCCACCCCACCCAGCATGCAGCCCCCTCCTTGTCCACTTCCTGTCTGCTGTTTGAAGCTGGTTTGGAGCTCAGACCAGCGCCCTGCCTGGGGACTTTCCCCGAGGAGGGGTCTGACAAAGGCCATGAGGGCCTGGCCATCCTTGCTCACCTGTGCCACCAGCTGAGCGGTAGCTGATCCTCCAGGGAGGTTCACCTCATCTTCAGGGTCTGCCTGGAGCCTTCACTGGCACCCCAGGGGTGGTCCCATCCCATCAGGCATAGACATACCCCAGGGACATTGCACTAGCCCCGCATGACTCCTGGGCTGGAGTGGCTTTGTGCTCCCTGAGTTCAGTGGCTGCTGGTGCTTCTGCTGAAAGGCTTTTGGTGTGGGACGCCAACCACAGTGTGGCCCATCCACAGCACAGTGCCCTCACCCAGAGGACCCTGGGATGCCATGGGGCTGAGTGCTGCTCTGTTCTGTTCTTGCTTCTGAAACCAATCCACTCCCCCAAGACACGCGTCGTCGGCAGCAGGGCTCGGATTACACGTCCACCTCCGAGGAGGAATACGGCTCCCACCACGGCTCCCCCAAACATGCACGCTCCCATACCTCAACAGCCACGCAGACCCCAAGGGCCGGCAGTGCAAGCCGGGTTCGTTCCCGGGCCCCTGGCCCCCGGGACACAGATGATGACGACGAGGAGCCTGACCCCTACGGGTTTATCGTGCAGACGGCTGAGATTGCAGAGATTGCCAGGTGAGTGGTGCCATTCTAGGTCAATCACAGAGGGCTCCCCTCAGCTGAGCACAAGCCAAGGACGGGGACTGAGCCAGGGGCTCCACTCATGGCTTTGAGTAGAATGGATGGATGGATGGATGGATGGATGAATGGAGAGTTGGGTCACTGGGTGGATGGTTTTGTTGATAGGTGGATAGCTGAATGGGTGGATGGGTGGACAAATGGATAGCTAGGTCACTGGGTAGATAGTTTGATGGGTAGGCAGTTGGCTAAGTAGATGGATGGATGGGAGGAAGGAAGAATAGATCACTAGGTAGATAGGTGGGTGATGGGTGGGTCACTGGGTAGATGGGTTGGTAGGTGGACAGCTACAATCATTGGATAGGTGGGTAGATGGATGGACAAGTGGATAGATGAATGGCTGAATAGATGGCTATGGGTCACTGGGTGGGTAGGTAGATAGATGGGTGGATACCTCATTGGGTAGATGGGTTGGTAGGTAGATGGCTGAGTGGATGGATGGATGGGGTGTGGGTAGGTGGATTGATGGAAGGATGGAATGATAGATCAGTGGGTCACTGGGTGGATGGTTTAGTTGGTGTGTGGATGGATGGAAGGAAGGAAGGAAGAGCAGGTAACTGGGTGGATGGGTGGGTGAATGGAGAACTGCCTGGGAAGCTGGGGGACATTGGTACAAGGAGAGCTCTCCCCAGGCTTTTGGTAGGAATGAACCTCATCCTATGGTAGCTCCATAGAGTCCACCTCTGTGCCACCTACTGAGGAGGGTGGTACAGGTTGCTGAGTAGCTTAGAGTGGCCCTTTACTGAGCTTGTGAACAGCAGGTATCCTGTAGAGGATGCTGAGCTTGTGAGTGCTGGAGACCCCCAGGAGGCTCCCAAGGACAGGTGGCCCTCAGGAGGTTCACCCAAATGGGGATGAGGACTCAGGCATCGTTGGCACAAAGATGGCCACTAAGGTTGTGGTGAGGTGAGGTCTTGGTGAGTACGAGATGGCAAGGAGCAGCTGTCTGGCACCCAAGGTGTGGTTGGGCAGTGCCATCTGTGCCCTACTAGTAGCTGAGGCCCCATGGCCAGATGAGAGGAGAAGGGGGGCTCCCCAAGCCTCAACAGGGTCAGGAAGGAGAAAGGAGGGCAGAGGACCATATCGGTTTTCTCCTCTTATCCAAAGTGGCTGAGCTTAGGCATACCAGCCCACCAGGAATGGGAGATAAGAGCAGAGGGGCCTAAGCATGGCAACACAAGGCAGGGTGGGGCCAGGCCTAGGGCAGGCATGTGTCAGTGTGGCATCACCAGAGCTGGAGGGAAGTTCTAAATTGGGTGGGCAGCACAAAAAGGCTGTCTGGGCAGAGCTCTCTGAGGCCAAGGGCCAGGGCTGCCTTTGTACATGGAGGGCTGGCTCAGCAGAGTCCTGGCACAGGGTCATGAGGTCAGAGCCCCAGCCTGCATGGACTCCTACTAGGCTGTGGGAGCACTAGATATACTGGTGGGGTTGGAGGAAGCCTAATAGGGTGGGCTCATCCCCCATTTGGATAGCCACAGGGACCGTGTTGCCCCTGCATGCTGTCTCAGGAGGCAGCTGGGCAGAGGACACAGGCTGTGGGCTCTAGCAGGACCTCCCTGAGGAGGGACCATGCCTGGTGGGAACTGAGGTGGATGGTCTGGGCCTCGCTGTTGCCCTTGTCCCCTGGGCATGCCTGTGGTCCTCATCCAGGGAAGCCACACCCACTGCAGTGTGGCCAGGGCTTATGCCCCAGAACTCCTTGGGTCTGCCTGGCCCATCCCTGCCTGGCTCTGACACTGAAGTCAGGAGCTCCAAGTTACATCTGCCCTGGTCTCAGCCCACCTCCTGCCTCAGTTTCCCTGCTTATAGAGGCGGGCACCTGTGACGTCCACGCCTGTGGCTGTCATGTCCACACCACCTACCTACCATCTTTTCTGCCGGCTGCAGGCTGAGCCAGACCCTGGTGAAGGACGTGGCCATCCTGGCCCGGGAGATAAACGATGTGGCCACAGACGGTGATTCGCTGGGCTCCCCAGGGCCCACGCGTAGCCCCTCCCTTGGGAATGTGCCCAGCACCCCCGCCTCGACCATCTCTGCCCACGAGGAGGTAAGCCTGGCCTACTGGGTGCACACAACCCACATGTGGTTGGCAGAGGGCATGGTCCCCATGGTCCCTCACCACCTAGCACACTCCAGCTCAGCCAGTAGCCAGTGTCTGTCTGTTTGGTCCTTGTGTAGCTCCCAGAGCTGGTGTCCTCAGGAGTTGTGTGCAGCCTTGTGCCAATCCCTATGTGGCTGCCTGCACCCCTGAGGGTGGTCAGAGGGGCATCCTCTCACCTGCCCACCTGCTGGGGCAGCAGAGCCAATGCCGCCTGCCCCACCCCTGCAGCTGGTGCAGCGCATCCCAGAGGCCAGCCTCAACTTCCAGAAGGTGCCACCTGGCACTCTGACCTCTCAGTACCTGGACCAGAACATGAATAGCAGCCACGAAGATGCCTTGGGCAACAAGACAAGGCCTCGGAACCGCGAGGAGGCATGGTGCCCTCTGCCCCATGCATGCTGCCTGGCCGTGGGCGGGGGGCACAGCTCAGCTTTTGTCCAGGGCGTGAGAGGGCACAGGGCTTCCTGGGGCCAGCCAGGGCCCTGCTAATGCCTGGACCCCTCCAGGTGATCTTCGACAACCTGATGCTGAACCCGGTGTCTCAGCTGTCCCATGCCATCAGGGAGAACACAGAGCACCTCGCCGAGAAGATGAAGTGAGTTGGCAGTGGCATCAGTGGACTTGCATGGCGAAGACCAGGCAGGGTCGCCCCACATAAGGGCTCACAGCCCTGTGGGCCTCACATGTGCCATGCTTGTGTGCGGCTCCTGTCAAGCAGGACCCAAGCTCAGGGCCCAGCCATTCCTACCCTCAGGGCCAGGGATAGAGGTGGGACTGTGGTGCCACCAGCTAGGTCTTGCTCTTGCTCTGGGCCGAGGGTGGGGTGGCAGGAGCTTTGCCATGACTGTGGGAGGCCTGGGTGGGAGGTGTGGGAGAGCTGGCTCTCATCCCTGTCCCCCGGCAGGATCCTCTTCCAAAACACAGGCCGCGCGTGGGAGGACCTGGAAGCCAGGATTAATGCAGAGAATGAGGTGCCCATCCTGAAGACGTCCAACAAGGTGAGGCCTCCCCACCCTACCCACCTGGGGCGTGGCCCCAGCAACCCACCCAGAGCCCAGGGTCCCACTCACCCCCCGCCTCTGGCCTGCCCAGGAGATCAGCTGCATCCTGAAGGAGCTGCGGCGCGTGCAGAAGCAGCTGGAAGGTGAGGAGGCCTGGCTGGGGCAGGCAGGGTGGCATGGGAGCTGAGTGGGGTCCCCTGGCTGGGCTTCCATCTGACCTGTCCTTCCCCACCCCCAGTCATCAACGCCATCGTGGATCCCAGTGTGAATCTGGACCTGCTCACAGGAAACCGGGCTCCCACAGGCCCCGCCACCCAGGGGCTGGGAAAGGGCCCCACTGTGTCTGCCCCAGCTGAGAGCCTGCTGCCCCTGAGGGGATTCCCACCAAGGGCCACCTGTGGGCCACCCAGCCTGGCAGAGCCTGCCTTCCTCCCCGATGCTGAGCACTTCCTGATCTAGACCCAGGCCAGGCCAGGCCTCCTGTGCCTGCCTGTCCACTGCTCGACCCGCCACTTGGCCAGAGTGTCTCCGAATCCCCCACATGTGCCATAGCCCCATGGGCAGGCACCTCCTGCTCTGCCAGCACCCCACCCTTCTTGCCCACCCCCACCGAGGCCCCCTGGCCCAACTCCTGGTGCGGCCACTGCCAAGGGCACATCCCCCACTCCTCTCCATGCTGTCATTTCATCATTAGCTTTCAAGGAAAGAGTAGTCTGTGCCATGGCAGTGCCCAGCCCTGCCCATGATGCTCCAGTGCCTGGGAGGGTGCCCTGCCTCACTGGAGGCTCTTGCTGACCGATCTCTCCCTGTATGCTGGCCCAAGGCCAGGCAGGGGAAGAAGGTGGGCTAGGGCTGTTCAGGGCCAAATGTGAGCTGGAGGCCTGTGCTGGGCCAGAGCTGCCTCAGAGTCTAACAGCCAGGTAGGCACATGGTTGTGGAAACACTGGGGCAGGAACCCCACAGCTCCAAGCTTTTGATGCCAACACAACTGCCAAACCCCTAGCTTGAGGGCTGCCAGTGGAGCCCTCCTGAGTGTGGGCATAGGTTGGGGGATGCCCAGGTGCCCCTCTGTGCTGCACCAGAGGTGTGGGGTGGTAGAGGCACCAGCAGCCCCTCTGAGGAGGGAGAGCTTGACCAAAGTGGCTGGAAACAGGTTTCTGGAAGATCTGATGCTGTGGTATGGACAGTGTGCCAGTGTCACCCCTGTTCTCCGGATGTTGTGGGCATTAAATGGGCATCTGCAACAGGTAGTGGCCTGATCCCTTGCAGGGGATGGTGGGACAGGGACAGGCCCCATGAGCAGTGACACTTTCTCAGGACTCTTTCTGCTGGGAACCAGCCCCTCTGCAACGCCGTCTTGGGCACTGTATCTGGAGCCCTAAGCCAAAGAGCTGTGGCCATGGTGGCTGGGGTGCCCACCTCCTCAGTCAGGCATTGGTGTGGGTGTCAGACCTGGACGGGCAGGGGCTGGAAGAGGGTCTGAGCAGTGGGACCCGGAGTCTGCAGTGGCGATGTGGCCTCCCTGTTTACAGTTTGCCAACATGGAGCCTGGCACGGGTGTCCTATGTGCCTGTGACTCGGCCCACCCCATGTTTACATGTGTGTGCAGGGGCTGGGTGGCAGATGCCACTGGGCCCCACCCCAAGAGCCTGCTGTCCCTTTGGAGGAGGTGCTAGTTGGGCTGCTGCCCACCTGCATGCCCTGTGCTGTTGCCCACAGCCTGGCCCCGGAAACAGTGGCTGCTCACCTTCGTCCACGCCTGCTCCTGGCCACCGCTGTACAATTTCTTTTATGCACATGTTGGTGTTCCTCCACACGTCACACTCCCGTTTCCCCCACTGGCCCTCGGCCTGGGGCTGGGATTGCCCCTGCCTGGCTTCTTGGCGGTTGTCTCTACATTGTTCTCAGGTGGTCTTGTGGATGTCTCAGAAAATGGTTATTTTATATGATTTGTCATGGAATTTGTTCTAATAAATCATTCTTGTATCACGTGGCAGCACACCAGGTCTGCCGCCTCACTCCATGGGTGGGGATCAGGCTCCACCTGGGCAGGGGTGGCTCTGCCAGACCAAGGGAGGCTGCAATCCAGAGAAGCGGCCACCAGGTGGCAGCCGGGGTGAAAAAGGAAAGCAGATGTTTGCTCGGGAGAGAAAAGGTGGTTATTTTACTACAGCCATTCAAGGACCCGGAGCCCAAGGAAGCTCTTTGAAGTATGCGAAGTGCATAAAAGTAGGCAGCAAGAGAGGCCTCAGGTGCAGTTCTGTGAGCCCTTGACAATCCCAGGTCTTTCCTTTGTGTCTTTAGAAGAGCCTTTCAAAGGGCGGTTGCTGTTTGCTTGGCACAGTGCAAGTCCTGCTGCCTACAGACTGAGTGCCCCAAGGACAGCCTGCCCCTTAGCCATCGCTCTCCTGCTCAAGTTCTGGGCTGGCTGGCTTGGGAGCCAGGAGCAGGGCATGGCAGACCTCTGGACACCAGTGGGGGGTGGCAAGGGGTAGTGCAGGTCTAGACTGAAGGATGCAACTGCTGCCTTGGCTGCCCACCGGGCCTGAGTCTTCCCTGATGAGCCTCATCCTGCCCAGGTTCCTGGCCCAACTACAGCTTCCCTGGCAGGAGAAGCAGGGAGCTGTGCTGTCTCTGCATGCCCAACCCCTCCAGGGCCAGGCAGGGCTGTATGTGTGTCCCCACCAGTGTGGAGGTACGTAGGTAGGCTGGCAGGCACACAGGCTCAAACTCTGGCCTATTATATCCCAGTGAAGGGAGGCTACATCCCAGGGAAACTTCACTCCCAGCAGTGGCCCTTGCAGAGTGCATGCAGCCTCTGCCCACCCTGGGGACATGTTGAGGCCAGGCTGAAAGAAGAGGCAGTTGAGCTGAGCACCCACCATGATGGAGGCCAGGTTAGCCCCAGCAGGCCTCACTGAGCTCTGTGGAGGTGGAGGGGAGACAGTGTGGCTGCCAGGCTGTGTGGGATTGGAAGGAAGGAGGATGCAGCTTGGTCTGTTCAGCAAGTGAAGGTGTGGCTCTAGAGAGAAGTGGTAGTTGGGCCTTGGGGAATGGACTGGGGTGTGGGAAAGGAAGTTGAGGGCAGAGGTTGGAGCCCACACAAGGGTGGTGCTGGGGGCAGAGGGGCAGCAGAGAGTGTAGGTGATGCAGTGAGCTCACACTAGGGTCTGAGGTTGTCACAGGGAGTAGGACTCAGCTTGGAGTTTGAAGGCAAGACCCCTATGGGGACAGAGATGGCAGTTCAGGGGCTCTGAGCCTGATGTGGGTTTCAGGCTGTTTGCAGAAATGAATAAAACATGCCAAGGCACAGAATATAAATCATCTCTGATTAGTTTTGTTGTTAGCAAATAAACCTGATCTCCAGAAAGAATTAGGCTCACATATTTTCCATGCAAAAGCCAATGGCTTTTTATAAACTTGTGCTTCATTGTGATATTTTGCTCATATCCCTGAGACCCCACCCCCTTCTCCCTGCTCCCTTAACTGCTCCTCTTGTCTAGCAGTCTTCCTTCTACTTTCAAGTAATGCTTTTTCTAGAGCCCATGTATTAGGAAGAGCACAATGCTGTCTTTCTGTATCTGGCTTTTTCGGTTTAATGTGACAGTCTCCAGTTCCATCCAGTGCCCTGCACATGCTATGACTTTGTTCTTCTTTATGGCTGAGTGATAACCCATGATGCATACAAACCACATTTTCTTCATCCACTCATCCATTAAAGACGTCTAGGCTGATTCCATTTGCCACAGAAAAAGTGAGAATGCAGATATCTCCATAGAAAGCTAATTCAGTTCTTCTGAGTGTCTGCTGAGGAGTGGTACAGCTGAATCATATTATAGTTCTACTTTTAGCTTTTTGAGGAATCTCCACCCTGATTTCTGTGTGGCTGTACTAACTTACATTCTCACCAGCAGTGTAGAAGCGTTCCTTTTTTTCCACATTCTCGCCAGCATTTATTGTCTTTTGAATTGTGGATGAGAGCCTTTCTGACTAGGGTGAGATGGAATCTATGTAATGGCTAAAGATTTTTCCTACACTTACTGGCCATTTGTAACTCATTTTGAAAAGTGTTTATTGAGTTCACTTTCCCTTTTAATTGTTTAAATTTTTTTTTGTTTGATTTTAGGGGTTGGTTGTTCTAGGTGGTGTTTTGAATTCTGCATACTTGATACTGTACTACTCTTTCCGTATACTAGCTGGTGAGGACTCTTTTCCATTTTATAGGCTGTGTCTTCACTCTGTTGATTGTTTACTTTGCATGCATAAGCTTTTTAATGTGCTGTGATCTCATTCAGTGGCCCTTGCTAGTATCCCCTGAGCTTTTGGAGACCTGTGTAGGAAGTCTGTGCCTATGCCCACATCTCAAAATGTTTTCCCCTAGCAGTTTCAAAGTTTCTGGTTTTACATTGGGATCTTTGATCCATTTTGAGCTGATTTTTTTTATGAAGCAAAGGATAAGGATCTACTTGCAATTTTCTACACATGGATATCCAGTTTTCCTGAAACCATTGTTGAAGAGGCTGTGTATTCTCCAACATATGTTGGTGGCATCTTTGTTTATGAGAATCAGATTCCATAGCTGTGGGAATTTATTTGTGGGTCCTCTGTTCTATTCCATTGGTCAGCTTTTCTGCTTTTATTCCAGTACCATGCTATTTTTGTTCCTATGGTTTTATAGTATATTTTGAAATTGGGCATTCTTTGCACAAGCATTTTTTGCTCAGGACTGCTTTAGCTATTGGGACTCTTTTGTGCTCCCATATGAATTGAAGGATTGTTTTTTTCTAGTTCTGAAAAGAATCTGTGTCATTAGTATTTTGATGGAGATTGCATTGAATCTATTGTTTTCTGTAATGTGGCTGTTTTAATAATCTTGATTCTGTCAATCCATAAACATGGGAACTCTTTCCATCTTTTCATGTCATCTTCACTTTCTTCAGTGCTTTATAATTTTCCTTGTTGAGGCCTTTTACTTCCTTGGTTAGGTTTATTTCTAGGTATTTTCTGAGCAGTGGTGAATGGAATTGTTTTCCTGGTTTCTTTCTCAGAGAGTTCATTATTGATGTATAGAAAAGCTACTGATTTCTGTACACTGATTTTATACCCTGCTACTTTGTTGAATTTGTTTATTAGTTCTAAGAATATTTTGGTAGAGCCTCTAGAATCTTGTAAGTATAGAATCATATCACCTGTAAACAGGAATAATTTTACTTCTTCCTTTCCAATTTGTGGTCCTTTTATTTCTTTCTCTTGCTTGCTTGATTGCTCTGGGTACAATTTTAAAGTACCATATTGAAGAATAGTGATGGGAGTGGACACCTTTGTCTTGTTCCTGATCCTAGAGGAAAAGCTTTCAATCTGTTGGCTGTGGATCTGTCATATATATCCTTTACTATGTTGAGGTAAGATCCTTCTGTGCATACAGTAGTTTCTTCAGGGCTCTCTCTCATCATGAAAGGAGATTGAATTTTATTAAGACTTTTGCTGTGTTTATTGAGATGTTTGTGTGAGTTTTGTCCTTGATTCTAGTTATATGGGGTGTTATTCTGCTGGTTTGTGTAGGTTGAGCCATCCTTGAATCCCAGGAATGAGACCAATCTGATCTTGGGATATGATCTTTTAAATGTTCTGTTGAATTTGATTTGCAAGTATTTTGTTGAGGAATTTTGTATCTATCTTCATCAAGAATATTGGTGTATATTTTTCTTTTTGTGTTATAACCTTATCCAGTTTTGGTATCAGGGTGATACTGGCTTCATAGAATGAGTTTGGGAGCTTTCCTTCTCCTTCTGTTTCATCAAATAGTTTGGGGAGAATTGGTTTTAGTTCTTAAAAGATCTGATAAATTTCAGCAGTAAATCCATCCAATTCTTGGGTTTTCTTTGTTGAGAGACTTTTATTACAGATCCCATCTTAATTGTTATTTATCAGTTTAGGCTTTTTATATCCTTTTGGTTCAATTTTGTGAGGTCATGTATATCCAGAAGTTTATCTAATTCTACGTGTGATAACATTTTAATTTAAAATTTCAAAATAGTCCCTCACAATCCCCTGGATTTCAGTATTATCTGTTGCAATATTACCTTTTTCATTTCTGATTTTATTAATTTAGATTTCTCTTTCTTTTGGTTAGTTTTGCTAAGAGTTTATCTTGTTTGTTTCCAAGAACCAACTTTCTGCTTCATTGATCTGTCAGCCTATTTTGTTAACTTCATCTTTGATCTTTATTATTTCTTTCTTTCTTCTGGTTTTGGATTTAATTGTTCTTGATATTCTAAGGCCCTGAGATACATCATTAGGCTATTTGAGATCTCAGATTTTTTTAAATACAGGTACTCATAATGATAAACTTCCCTCCTAGAACTGTTTTCAGTGCATCCCAGACTGGTGTGATGGGCTTCCATTTTCATTTCATTTTAGAAAGTTTAAAATCTGGACCAGGGATGTTAGCTCAGTGGTTCCATTGCCTGCCTTGCAAGCACAAGGACCCAAGTTCAATCCCAGGTACCAAAAGCAAACAAACAAAACCCAAAAGTTTAAAATTCACCTCAATATCTTCAATGACTCAATAATTATAAGACTATTGTTTTATCTCCATGTTTCCTATATTTCCTACTCTAGTATCTCCTACTATTGATTTTTAGTTTCTTTGTTATGATTTGATGCCATTGTTATGATTGTTATGATCTGATTTTTTATTTGTTAAAATTTTCTTTGTGACCTAAGATATCTGTTTTAGAGAAAAAATTCCATAAACTGCTGAAAAGAAGTTCATTCTGCAGTTGTTGAATGGAATACTCTGTAGATGTCTGTAATAAGTCCTTTTGGTCTGTACTGTAGTTTAACTCTGATTCCTCTTTGTCGATTTCTTTTAGTGTAGATGACCTATCTGTTGGTGAGAGAGGGTATTAGGGTTAGACAGGCATGGAGAGGGTACACCACACAGCCTGGCAGAGTTGCTGAGTTGAGTCTCAGATCAACAGCCAAGCTCAGCAGAGCAAAATAGTGGAGAAGAGAGCACAGCCCAGAGCATGAGCCCAGAGGTCATCATCTGCACACACAGGAGAACTCATATGAGGTGGGGCAGATGCCCATTGTATGCTTGAGGCTGAATATGTCTTAGACTGGCACAGGCCTGGGATATACATGTCCCTGCCAGCTGGAGAAGGGACCTTGTGACACACAGGACCCTGGAGAGTCCTCTGCAGGAAGTGGCTGCAGAAGGACTGAATTTCCCTGCTCTTCTGCTTCGAGCCCCAGCAATGCCTTAGAGCAAGTCTCAAAAGAAAAATAACTAGTAGAACAAAGCCCAAAATTTATTAAAGGAATACAACAAAATCTAGCATCCAACACATAATGTCCACCCAAAAGTGACCAGGCACACAAGGAGGAGGATAATATCAAGAGGTGAGAAGACACAGCCAGAAGGGAAAATAGTCTTCCCAGCAAACAATGCAGAAGAAAAGTTCATTCTTTGTTTTTAAATACTGAACATATGATAATTTACTACCCAAAATAAACCTGGGGGGGGGGCTTTAAAAATAAAGAACAGCCCAGAACAGTACATCACTGATTTATGAGATAGCATCAACCAGCCCCACATACACAAAGTTGAAATCTTAGGGGGGGAAAAAAAAGGTTAGCTGGCCATGGTGGCGCATGCCTGTAATCCCAGCGCTGGGGAGGCTGAGGCAGGAGCATCTCTAGTTCGAGACCAGCCTGGGCTACACAGTGAGTTCCAGGTCAGTCTCAACTACATAGTGAGACCCTGTCTC